TGCCCTTGAACTAAAACATTGGCTCTTCCTGTGCAATAAGCCCGTTGGTCTTTGGACTAGAACTACATGGTTGGCTTTCCGGGGTCTTGGGCTTTCACCCTGAGGCTGGAACTAGACCCTTGGCTTTCCTGGGGCTCCTGCAGTCCCGCTGCAGACGTTGGGACTTGTTGGCCTCCATAATCACAGGAACCAAACACTTATCGTACATCTCTCATATGCACACATATGTATATGCACATGCATGTGTATATGTGACATATATGCATTTCCTGTCGGTTCTGTTTCTCTGGAGAACCCTCACTACTACAGACAGTGAGCTCTGAGTGGGAGGACACCGGCTCAGGTTTTGCCCACCATTGCATCCAGAGTCTGAGACAGTACCTGCCGTATAGTATGTGCGCAATAAACACTATTTAAATACATGAATAGCTGAGCTTTGTATATCTGGAAAAAGAGTTGGAGTTTCAAGCATCTAATAGCTGCAGGTCCAGCAGAGGGAATTCAGGAGAAATAACTGTGGTAATAACTGCTGCTGTCCCTTACGGACCCAGGCTAGGCGGCCACCAGATGATGACATTTACTTCTCGTGAATGGCCAGCCTTGGGAGGCTATCTTTATTACTTCTGCTTTCAAATGAGGAACTTGGGGCTCGGAGGGATTAATAACTTGCCCAAAGCCACACAACCATGGAGTGTCACAGTGGAGTGCTGATTCCAAAACTTCTACTCTAAACCATTCTTGTTCTAGAAGCTTCTACGGCCTTGTCCTTTTTCCATCTTGAGTTGCGGGTTCATCAAGCCTCCCATGCAGCTTATTCCTCAACACCCAGCACTTGTGTGGGTCCATCTGACCCCAAAGCCCAGGCTGGTGTCTGCCACTCGCTGTGAGCACCGGGCCTTCTCATGCCTTCTCTGGCATCCACGTTGGGTGGGTGGCCCTTTGTGCCTGGTTCTACCAGAGAGGCCCGTCCCTACCTCCCTGGTCAGCTCATGTCACCTCACACACGGCATGTTCCAAACAGAACCCTTGCCCTTCCCGCTCCGCCAGGGCTTCCAATTAGTCCCCATTCCATGTGCCCTTCTGTAAACCCTCAGGCATAAATTTATTTATTGAATATTTACTGAGCACCTACTTAGTGTCAGGCCCTGGTAATACGACGTGAGCAAAATAGAGTCAGTTCTTCAGAGGGTCTAGAGTCTCGAGGGGAAGGTCACTGAACATGAACTAATATCCATGGGTGGTGAATGCCAGTCTCCAAAATCCCATCACCCATGGCTTAAAAGAAAACGCTCCATTTTCCTCTCTCTCCCTTTCAGACTCCACAGCTACTATCCCCTTATCTAGGTTTTAAGTTTCCATTTATTACCTTCTAGTTCTTTGGTGCTTCCTCCCACCACCATGGTGTTAATCTTCCTCAAAACAGGAATTCTATAACTCTGTTCTCCAGCCGAAGGATCTCAAATTGCTCTCCACATACTAGGGACTGGGGCACATGGGTGTATCCTTGAAGGTCACGGAGAAGGGGTTCAGGGGTGCACGATGTGGTACAGGAGGCCACAGGGGAAGTGTGTTTTGGGAACATCAATATTGCTTGAAGTTTGGGGTAGGTAGAAATGTAATTATGAAATTAAACAGAAAGTAGGCATTTTATGGGAATAAAATAGAGAATTCTGGTCAAATTTGAAGATGAAAAAATAAGACTTCCAAGAAAATCTGTGGTGGGCAGCAGCTCTCTGCGTCTCCGGCCTCTGCCAGGCAATGCTGTGTTGTCTTTGTTGACAGGCCAGGCCACCCAGAGCACCTGGGAGAGGTTGGACTGCCACTGGGTGCCCTTCCTCCACAGCAGCAAGGCTCAGGCCTGGCTTCAGGGGTAGTTGGTGGGAAAATTTGAGAAGAACTGGCCACCTACCACAGGAGCCAGACTCTGGGTATAGAGTACGTACTCAGCGAATGCATGAAAGAATGAAGAAGTGAATACGTCAAGGCATACATTTTGACTTTGACCTTCAAGGACCAACCTGATATGAACCATTACTCCATATTGACCCTCATTTCCTCAGTATTTCTCCTTTCCACAAAACCTGAGAGTTCTTACAAAGACTCGTTAAAGGTTCCATGTAACTTTCTAACTTTAGTTCATTCTGTTGCTGTGGGAGACACCCTTCTCTCTCTGTTTCCCACCCATCCAAATACTGCTTGTGCTTCCGCTGCCCAGCCTCTGCCAGCCCTGTGAGGTCCAGCCCAAGAGTCCCACCCTCCTTTGAACATCCAAAGCCCAAGTCTCCACCCACTCATTTGGGTATTAATACACACACTGCTAGATTGGTCCTGAAATGTTTCCTAGGTACCACTGAGTTCACCAGCCAAATCTTAAATTCTGGAGTATAGGAGATGTCTTATCTTTCCATCGTACCCCTCAGAGTTCTTAATAGTAACAGATATATCACAGATACAAGAAAATCATGCTGAAGGGCTGACAATGAATTTTAACCCACATCTGTGGTTCTTAACTGGGAGCAACTTTCCCTCAGGGGACAATGATGTTTTTGGCTGTCACAACTTGCCTTTGTTACTGGCATCTTCTGGGTTGAGGCCAGGGATGCTGCTAAACATCCTCCAAGAAGGGCCTCCTCCAGCACAGAACTGTGTGCCCTGCATTTAACAGCACTGCTGTTAAGAAATTCTGCGTACAATATAATATCTTCCTAACTTGTCCTTCATCTCTTTATTTTCCAAATCAGAACCCAAACTCTTTCCTTCTGCCTTCAGTCTAAACTTCTGTAAAAGGAATTCTCATCATATTACTTCCCTGTTACATTAATGGCTGTTCACTCATTTTGAGGGGACAAATCACACTCTTTATCAGGGCCATTATGACCAGGCTCCTGCATTTCTTCTGCATTTGGGTTCTCTTCCTTCTCTAAGTCACTCCTCCTATACCAGCCACAGGAGTCACCCCGCACTTCCAGAACCATTATGATCTCTTGTGCCTCAGTACCTTTGCACATGCTGACCCTGCTGCCTTGAACACTTTTCCCCTTGTTGGCTTATAAGTATATACTGCCCAGAGATCAATACCAGCACTGCACATCAGCAGATATTTATTGCTTGTCTCCCATGGGCCAGACACTGAGGTGCAGGGGAAACAGCTGTGAACAAAACAGAGTGATTCCATGCTCTCAAGAAGCTAACGGTCTAGACCCACGCTCTCCAACAGAACTTTCTGCAATGGTGAAAATGTCTTAAATCTGCCCTGCTCACTACGCTACTAACCACATGCGGCTATTGAACACTGGAAACATAATCTGAACTTAAAACATGTTTTGAAGATTTAGTATTAAAAACAAATAAAATATCTCATGAGCATTCTTAATTGTTATCTCATCAAGGCCCGATGACAAACCCATGAGTTGGACATTACTATTCTGCCCATCTTACATATGAGAAAACTGAGGCTCAGCAAGGTTAAGGAAAGCTGGACAAAGTCATACAGCAAATTGGGGGTGAAACTTGGCTTTGACCTGGGTCGGTGGGAGTCTAGAATCCACACAACCTACACATCACTACACTCCACATACCAGCTGCCCTGCGCGATGCTTCTCATAGCCAATGAGCAATCAAAAAATCATTAAAATGACCCAGCTTGGCAGCCTTTTCCTAGCCATTCACCTACACAGAGGGTCCTCCTATCATTCCTGACAGACAGGAATTGAAACTCAAAACTGGGTCCGTGGGAGACAAAGGGCTTCCTTTCTGGCTCTCCTCTGCGGCGGTAGCGGCGAAGCAGCACCTTGCGCAAGGTCTGGCTGGCTGGACAAACACAGCTGTAGTCCCTCCCTCCTGAACATCTTGGCAGCGGCACGTGATGGAGTGGACATGGATGACCACTGCCTCCCAGGCACCTATACTCTGGGAAGTTTTCTAGAAAGCCTTCCTGCTGCCTCCAGCCCAGCCAGTCGGCCACAGAGCTTGCTGTGAGTGCCAGCTAACATTTGCTTTGCCTGTTGACGTTGGCCCCAGCCTCTGGCCTCCAAGTACTCAGCCCCCGCTGGTTTGGAGCTGCTTTGCTCTGTCCAGGCCCTACAAACTTCTGTGTGACCAGAGGGCCTGTGACTGTGGCTGCCCTTTACCCCTCCCCCTTCTCTGAAATTCTTGCCTGGCGCTGGGACATTTGGAGTGGTGGCTTCCAAAGCTGCAATCTCTCCAAGAAGCCACGGACTACAAGCAGCCCCCGACTACTATTCTTTTTAAAACACGTTGAGATATAATTGACATATAACATTATATTAGTTTCAGGCATACAACATGATTGGTATATATAATACGAAGCAATCACAGTAAGTCTAGTTAACGTCCATCACCACGCATAGTTACGCATTTCTTCCTGTGACGAAAACTTTTAAGAGCTACCCTCTTAGCAACTATCAAATATACAATACAGTGTGATTACCTTAGTCACCATCCCCAGATGGCATTCTTGGTTCTTGTATATTCTCAGCTGCCCACACAGGCCAGCAGGTCCTGTTAGTTCTCCTGCCAAGGTCTGCCCCGAACCTACCTGCTCCTCTCCACTTGCACGCCCCGCCGCTGCCCGAGCCATGCCCGCCTCCTGCCTGGGTATCACAACAACCCCCCACCCCCTGCCAGTCTCCCTCTTCTCCCCCTCAGGTTCTTCCTCCCCACAGCAAGACTGAGCTTAAAACATAATTCAGATCATGTCACAATGTTATGTGACAGGGCTCATGTCTTATTCATCTCTGCCTTCCACAGTCTGCAGAGAATGTTTGTGGCACTGCACGTGAGGTTTAATCTTTATTGAAACACCCAACGTGGAGCGGACTCCCGAGCCGGGCGGACACTTGTAGTAATTTCTTTGTCCCCAGTGTGTCTAATGCAGGGAAGCAAATGAAACCTTCCCAGCATTGCTCTCTCGTCCCACGTGTCAGGGGCCAGTGGCCCGTCCACCCAACCCCGTCAGCTCTGGGCTGCTTGCTACTCACACTTGGTGTGTCTGTCACACAGGGCCGACGCCCTCATGTCGCACAGCCGGATTGTTCCTTTGCTGCTGCTGTACACGAAGGTGTTGCAGTGATGGGGGTGGAACTCAGCTGCCGTGATCACCTCCGTGAGCTCCTCCATGTTGGCCGGCTTGATGTCGACGATATCTGGCACAGACGAGTCAAGGAGTGGACCGGGGGCGGGGCAGAAACTCGGGGCGGGGGGGTGAGTAACGGCACGGCTGTCCTTTAGTGTGACAAGTTAGCATGGACCACGCGTGGTGGATCCTCATAAACCTCTGCGGGCAAACTGCCAGGTGTTACTGGACCCAGGCGGATGGGGCCGAGGGTCACCCCATGGTCAGACAACTAGGGTCTCTCTGGCCCCTTTCCGGTAAGTGTCTCACCCTCCACAGCATGCAGAGCTCCCACCAAAGCGACCTGCTCCAACGTGCCCAGCGGCACAGACTTTCATTCCTCATTTTACAACAGTGGTTACAAAACTCGTCCCACTCAATAATTCAATGTATTCGAATCTTCACCCAGACTCCTGGGTTGATAAGTAAAATCTACAGTAGACTGTAAATCCTCTTCCATGAAATCTCTGAGATGCTGCTGCTGATGAAGATGATGATGATGATAGCTGCTGCCATTTACCGAGTCCTGAGTACACGTCAATAACTGTGCAAAGCACATCACATACTTTATCTCTTTTAATCCTTATAATCATTACTTTCCTTACCCCCAGCTTCCAGGGGGTGGAAATGCAGGCTCAAGAGTATGTAAAGTAACTTGCCCCAAGCCACCTGACAGCGCTAGGATTTTATCTCAGGTGTGAAGCGTGTTCTTTAGTAAGCATGCAAACCTTCTACTGAAGATACACAGGGCTCCAGTGTCCGTAAGTAGTGATTTGCTTTAGGGCTTGCATGGGAGTTGCAACATGAGGAGGAAGCCATACCATGGCACGGCGAGGCAGTTTGAGCCCGCTATGAAATACACCCTTAGTTTATCGTCTGTGTTTGATTTTTCTCAGTTTTCCCCTTTCAGATAAAGAACGATTGTACTTCTATTTTTAAAGACCACATCCCTGTATACCACTATGAAACCTTTGGCCTTTCACTTATGAAGGTCACTTGGAAACATGCGTCTTCAGTAGGGCGTCGGGTATATAGACAGAGGCATGAGTCTGTGCCGATCCCTTCGTACCCCAACCGTGGGTGCACGAGGACCTGGGTGCAGGTCGGAGGCACCTGGCTGGGGCTGAGGTGCTGTCTGAGGACCCAGCAACTTCCTACAAAGGAACAGGCCACGTGATGTGGGTGCTGTGGTATGGGAAAGCTGATCAAAATCATTCCCACTTTTCCTGGCCTTTATGACATTTGAGCCACCTTTGTGATTTTCTGTTCCACCTGTAGATCATCTGGTAGTATTTTTTCCATCATATTTTTTTTCTTCAGATCAGCTGAAATCGACTCCCTTTACTTAGCCTCCTCTCAGCACTAATCCAATATTCATAACATCGTGGATGTAATGAGTTACATTTTTAATAATACACAAGATAATAAATTAATAACGATGAATATCCAAACATCTGTACGTGTGCCAGGAGTTTATGTATCCCATCTTGGAAAACACCGTACAGCACCGACAAGCAGTCACTTGACACAGACTCTCCTATTGCACTGAGATGGATGAAGGTCCTATGATTTTCATGGTCAGGAGCGGTCCCCTCCTTAGACTTTAGATGAGGTACCAGAAAATGCTCTGGTATTTTCAGCTACACCAACACCAGCAAAGTGTTCATCCATGATCAGACATCACCTCCGCCCCTGCTATGGCCGCAATTCCGGCATGCAATTTGTTGTAATAAGGGCTTTACATTTGCCTGTGCCCTTCATTACTGCTTATAAATCCTATTGGGTTCTCGCTAAAATTAACTTGAGACTGAACTAACATTACGTTTTACTATAATTGCCCCCACCAAGCCCAGACGCAAGTATTACTTGGGTCTCCAGAGCATGTGGGCCCCCTGGATTCACAAAATGCCACCTTTCTCTGAACTGCTGCCCGAGTCATAAACATTAGTGCGGTTAGCCCCCCATCCTGAGGAGCAAGAGCCTGTGTCCCCCAGAACGAGGTCCCCAGCTGCAGCTCTGATGTTCTCACTGGTCCCCCACCTTCCCGTGGGCTGGTGGCCATGACAAGGGGTGGGGGGAAGCAGAGGTCAGTGTTCAGCTGCTGTCAGATTCCACTGCCCTCCAGAAAGAGCCCTCACACCCCACTATGCGAGTGAGCAGGTTTCTCTTTTCCCAAAATAGGGAAAGAAAATCTGGTGTCAGCTTTCTCAACCTCGACAGTGTAGCTCTAAACACCAGATTAACTGGAAGGAATCTTTGCTGTGTGGGAGGGGGAGGTGCCACATCCACGGTTATTTTTTTCTCACCTAAAAATAAAGCCCCAAAGTCAGAATGTGTGAAAATGAAGTGCTTAAACATATCTGTGAAGCCAGCAGCACCCACCACCACCAAGAGCGCCACCACGGGAGGTGACCACTGAGCCCGCTGCCTCTGGTCCTGCCGCCCCCGCCCCTGCCCCGGCTCTCCGCCTGCCTGTCGCCCCTCATCCTCAAAGCAGCTCCCTCGGCACCAAAGTGCTTTTTGGGTCTGACTCTATGGGGGTCAGGGATAAACTGTGACTCTATGCCTCTTTTTTTTTTTTTTAATCCTTACCCAAGGATACGTTCATTGATTTGAGACAGACAGACAGAGATAGAAAAAGAGAGACATTGATTGGTTGGATGGGAAGATGCTCCAATCAATGGAGCCACCCGGCCAGGGCATCTATCCCTCTTTTAATAACCATGATGATAGGGATGAGGAGGAAGAGAATAACAACCTGCAGTTAATGGTTATCATGGGCCATGTACTGTCTTATTTGACCTTCATCTCAGCCTTATGAGGTCAGTACTACCAACAGGCCCGTTTTCCAGCAGAGGAAATGGTGAGGGAAGTAAATTACTCAAGGTCCTCTGACCAGCAGGGGACAGAGCTGGGATTTGAACCCAAGTTTGTCCAAATTCTAGAGCCTGGGCTCTTGACCACGTGCCACTCTTCCCCACGAGTGTGGTAAAGTCTGGCTTTCTTGGAATTCCCCCGGCTCATCTGAGAGGGAGCTCTCGCCTGCTCTGGGCCTGTGTTCTCTTAGGTGACTGTCTACTTTGGGAGCCACTTTTTTCAAAAGCACAGTTGGGACACAGTATCGGACCTAGAATTTTTTTGTGTTCTATGATGAGAATTTTTTTTTTTTTTGAGCCAGAAGTTGGGACAGAAACATGATGAGGAATTTTCTGAATTGTTATCAGAGGGAGAATTTGCTGAGTTCCAGAAACACTGGGAGAAGCAATCCAGTTACCAAAAATTCAATGGCTTAGGGCGATGACAGTGGAGCGTATTTCACATCTGCCTCCTAGAGAAACCTGGGCCTCTTCCTCTGTTGGGAAGGGAGACACACACTCTCAGTCCTTGTGGTTTTGTCCTTCATGTTGGGGAGAAAGGAGAAAGGACATAAGCAATGCATGGCTCCCTGTATTATCTTGAAAATGGAATGATGCATTTTGACAGTCAATTTTCTCGTCCCCATCCTTTAGAGCTCTCTATCCAAATTATTTCCCTGTTGTCCCAAAGAACTAAATGGCAAAAGCAAAACATAACATTGGATTCACGGATAATATACAAGGCAGACAGCCAACAGATTGCTATTAAATTAACCCTGGGGCTTGACAGATCTGTTCTTCCTGACCCCGACAGCTTATGGCATTCCTTATTAACGCTGAGCCCGGGCAAATTACCTCTGCTAACAAAAGGGGTTAATCTGCCTCTCTGCTAGGGCTCTGGAGGCAGCTCAGGACGGGAGGGGTGCAGCCAGCGTGGCAGCTGAGCGCCACGCTTGGAAGGCAGAATGGGGGCGGCGAGGGCACCGCTGTGCCAGCCAGTGGCCTAAGGCATCATTTAAAATAATAATGGAAGACACTGGGAGGTCACCCCTTAAGAGATCGGTTTCAAACAAATAAGCTGGAGCCATAGGTGGCCTCCGCCGTGGGGTGAGGGGGTGGAGAGGGGACGGCAAGGTGCTAAGGGGCAGCATGGGGGCCGTGCCGAAGTCGTGTTCTCAGTCCCAAACCTGGAGAAAGCTTTCTATTAAAAAGTCTCCATTTGCAATGCGACATTACAAAAGATTGACAACAACGCGCATGCACCCACATACGCATACACGGAACTAGGGGAGTAATAAATAAATTTTGATTCATCTCATTAAACTGTTCATGTAATAAAATTGCAGGTCTGTTAAAAATATAGTATGAAAAATTCTATCTAAAGTATGATCATTATATCACTTAAAACTTATACTCTGAAAGTGATGAGTTAAAAGGTAAGATATTCAAATGTTAGTGAGAGTTCTATCTGGATGGGTCTATTTTAGGATGGAAAAAGATATTTTCTATGCTTATATATCTATATGTATATAATTTTAGGTGAGGAATGTTGGATACAAAATATATATACAGCCTGATCACAGCCAGACGAAAGAGTGTGTGTGTGTGTGTGTGTGTGTGTGTGAGAGAGAGAGACAGAGAGAGAGAGAGAGAGAGAGAGGAGAAATAGGAAACAGACAGGAAGAACATATAGTTATATCTTATAGAGGAGTTAGAGTCTAAGGTGAGCATGTAGGTTATCCTTTAGTAACTCTAGCCTGGGTTCATTCATTCATCTGTCCACTTATTCCATAAATGTTCACAAAGAATCTGCCAATTCTCTTCTGAGTGCAGAGAATATAGTCTGATACATGTAACCTATAGTCTAGTAGGGGGCATGGTCACTAAACAAGGTAAATAAATACCATATACAGTATGTTACATAGTAACAACTGCTACATAGAAAAATCAGGGAAGAGTGTATGTGTGTGTGTGCGTGTGTATGGGTGGGTGGGGTATGTGTGTGTCCGTGTCCTGGATTGAACAGGAAAAGGCTTCCTGGTTAAACCAGGAGTTAAGTTTTTTCTTTTATTTTCTTATTTATTTTTCTGAGCCCTTATAGTTGAGTTAGCTAGCATTAAGTTAAAATTGTGGTATATATTCCATATGTATATGTATATATGTGTATACACACACA